CCCCAAGTTTGAGTCAGTATTTCCAGCACATTTCACTGCCTGTGAGAAGCAGAAACGTTCAGATTAGTATGAATTATTAGCCTGTTATTATTTTTTGTTATTGCTGTTGTTGCTTTTATTACTACATTGCTGTTGTCATATTAATTATTATTATAATTCTGTAAAAAAAAGAAGTGTTGTAGGTGGCAGTTTTTGTACACATCGCTGATGCCTCGCAACCGAAGGCGGCAAAAGCAAACTACGCATTCGCTGTTCTTCTGGATGCGGTTGCTGATGTTGCGATTGGTCATCTGCCAACTTTTAGTACTTCCTTAGCAAATGTAATTTTTATTTTCATTTGCTTAAATTTACAGTTTTATTCTATTTCATAATCCAGAAGATAGTGGAAACTGTCTGAAAGCTTATTATGCTTTAAGACGCACTGTTTACTATTTGTTTAATCAGTACTGAAGAAGCTGAAGGCTTTAGCCAATGTTTTTGTAACGTTTGGCGTATTAACATCAAGGGTTTATAACATCAAGGGCTTTTCAGCAATAACCCAGATGAGTATAATGTCATTACTTTTTCCTGGAGAGTGCCGGAAATTTTGATTTCCATTCTAAAGGCCCATCATTGTCTATTCATTTCTGCGACTATTTTCGTTTCCTATTTTGTTTTCGTGCTTTTTGAAGACAGCAGTTTGGGTGAATGATAGTCGGTTTACAATGGATGCAGATGGCTGGTTACACGCAAATACTACATTTCCGGATGCAATCTCAGGACAACAAACAGTGATATCCATCCTGCGAGTTGGTACCAACGATATAGATCATTCGATTGTCACAATTAAATTTATTGAACCAGATACTCGTCGGCCGCACTTTTCACGTGACAAGTAATGCTCTTCTTATTGCTGGTGCAATTAACATGGTGATAAGCAGTAGTACTAATTTTAGACTTTGTGGCACTAAGCAGTCTTGTATCAGTGAGCTGTGTTAAAGTGAAAGAGAATAATTCTGACTTCATCTGAAAAAATACAGCGCCATCAGAATAGAATGATGGCATAAAGATGGATCCATCTCATTACCAGAAGGTTGTATCCCGCTTAATGCCCATCTTGATTATCCGAAAGTTGTTGGTGGAATTCGTGTTTTAGCAAGTGGTGCAATAACTCCTTTTTTCAATGACTGTATCGCTTTCCACTAGCAATAATGCAATGACGCTACCGCAGTGTCTTGACGTAACATTGTCCTGGTGTGATGATTATTTACTCTTAATGCTCATTTCTTTCCTTAATCCTCTGGAGAAAAAGCAGCACTACTTATCAACAATACGTAAAGTTACTTCCAATTTTGCTCTTTGATTCTTCACGCACGTTGTACTTTTCGCACCTTGCACTCGCTGACGTGATTGAATCCACTCTGTACTCTGGCACTAGTCATTTTGCTTTTTCCACTTGAATTTCCAGGAGTTATCGATTAAAAAAAATTGTTTCAGGTACAAATTTTCGGTTTTTGAGAACTGCAATTTGCACACGGAGATTGGTGTTGTCCAGGCTGAAAATCCAGACGTT